GTCAGGCCCAGCTGGCCTGTGACACTAGTGCTGAGCTATCTTACAGACAGAGGCAGGGACAGATTGGTCTGATTCACTCCTCCCTCAGTAGGACTGAGAGCTCTCGAGTTGGACTCTGGAGAGAGAGTCACGGAGCAAGGACAAAGATATTTTCTTGTTTAAAACATTCTTTTAAAACTCTGGAAATCCAGATTCGAATGCTCCCTCTTCCACAAGCTCCTTGGAAGACCAAGGGTAAACCAATTCATGCCGTTGGACTCCAATTCTCCATTTGTAAAGTGGATTAATACACCTTCCGGCATCTACCTTGGTTTTTTTAGAAAATCAACTTGCCGTGGCACAGGTTCTCATTGCCTATGAATACAGGCAGCACCTAGTACTGAGGGGCCGTGAGTCCTTCAGTGCTACAGGAGCACAGATAACTGATTTCAGCTAAATCACAGGGGAAAAAAAAAAAAAAAAGTAACAATACAATGAAATGGCTTCTCCCTATGAGCTGTGAAAGCAAATTGGCAAGGTCTTTGCTGTGCATGGGCCAGGGAGGTGGTTGGTTGGTTTGAGGGAGATTGGGTTGGTATCATACAATCCCAGTTTGAACTCCATCAGGATTCAGGAATCATTAGCCACTAGCCTCCAGCATAGCATGGCAATAGATCCAGACATGGCATCCTGATCTCGATCCAAACTTCCCCTACAGACCCCACACCAAGGGTAAGAACTAGATTCCGGGCTCCTGAGGCAGCTCTCGGAGACCATAAAAGCTAAGGAGGCGGTAGTCATGGGGGACCTAAACTACCCAGACATCTGCTGGGAGACGCAGACAACAAAGTCCCACCGTTCACGCAGGTTCCTATCCTGTGTACAGGACCTCCACCTGACGCAAGAGGTACACGGTCCCACTAGGGGGAATGCCTTACTGGATCTGGTATTGGCAACGGGGGATGATATGGTAGGGGACCTACAGATCGGTTGCCATCTGGGGGACAGTGATCACCTAATAATAGAATTCTCAAAAGACATCGAGTGGGTAAGGTAACTAGTAGGGTGAAAGTGCTAGACTTTAGGAAAGCTGATTTCAATGAACTCAGGCGATTAGTCAAGGACGCACTGCAAAGTAGGAGTTTTGAAGGGATGGGAGCCCAA